GATTCTGCTTCGCGCAGTCACCTTCCATGATGAACGGCTGGGTGTTCTAGTTGAGAGGCTGTTCCCAATCTAAACTGTTCCCAGCAAAAATACTGGCATTTGACAGAGATTTAACTTGATTTGGAGGTTACGCCTGCTCTGCTGCTCATTCCCGATGAGATTCTGGCAGTGTGCTGGGGAAACACAAGAGCAAAGCAAAGCTGTTGTGTTGGGTGTATTCTTCTGCTCCCCTCCTTGGTTTAGGGGTTTTTTTTTGGGGGGCGGGGGTGTTGGGGGCATAGAAAAGCATAAGATTTGTGGGAAACAGGAATATGGAACATTCCAAAGTATTTTGACTCATTCTTGAAACTGGCTATCTGGAGAAAAACATGACTATTTGTCTTTATTCATTCAGTGTTTTGAGAGTTAGGGCAAAAAAAACATAAAAGGAATAATTTAAGAAAAGAGTTATCTTGAAAATTTAAAATTGGCTGTTTCTTGAATATTGACTTCAGAGTCCCCAGGGAGGGTATAAAGGTAAGGCTTGCAAAGGTTAGTAAAGAAAAAGGGAGATCTTCCCTGGGTGCAGCTGAGTGCGTCTACAAACTAGTGTGCTCGTTGTGAAGTACAATGGTACTTAGAAATGTGGTAGCCCTAAATCCTCAATTCTGTTTTACATTAAGACTAGCAACTTTAAGTGTTAGTTACTCCAAAGGCTGAAATGACTATAAAATGTACAGAAAATATCCTTTAATTAGGAGGTATAATGTAATTCTGTTTCAAACTAAATTGTTTTTCTCTGTCTTTTAGGGTATAAAGCCAGCAAGCTTTGAGAAAGTTACTGATCCTGAAATTAAGGAGATAATTGGGGAGTGCATTTGCAAAAATAAAGAAGAAAGGTTTGTTTCACGTAATCAAGTTTTGTATTAAACAATGTGTATGTAGGGATTTCAAAGCTGTCTGTGGATTTTTGTTGTGGCCTCTGGGTCTCCCCTGTGCAGGAGAAAATGCAGAATGGAAGTACAAATATAAATGCCTACTTTCCTGCTGCATAATGTCAGGGTAATTGAATAAATGCCGTGGTTGTGTCCCTCAGCCTCTCAGCTGTAAAGAACAGGGTCAGAAAGCACTGCTGTGGACATGTGAGCCTCGTGTGTTCTGGCCTAGCTATCTGTAAAATACCACTCGGGAGGTTCTGCGTGGAGCATGGAGCGTGCTGGTGGTCAGCCACGAGCGGTGGATTCACCGTAAGCTGTTTCAGCAGATTCCACTGACTCCTTAGCTGCTGGGTACAGAAACTCCTTGTACCTGTTTCCAGCTTTGGTTTTAAAACCTGATCTACTTATACTGAGTGTTTGGCATTTCATAACTCACAAACAGGTTTTAGGGACCTCAGCTGACTGCCCAGAGGGAACCTCTTTTTTAGCTCTCTCTGAGCTCAGATACTCAAGAAAAGTTGAGCAAAGCTATAGTCTGCATTTCTGTACATGCTTATGGCGTATGAATATTGCTGAAGCTTTGTGAAATAGATGTCACTTTTTTCAGCAGTTCTCCATAACGCTGGAAATACTGTCTTTTTGCTAAGAACACAAACTTGTTAGGATGAACACCAAACGTGCTGTAAATGTTTTCGCCTTTAACAGCAGTTTCTTGTCACAAACCTCTTTGAAATTACTGAAGACTTGCGGTGTTTGAATATTCTTTATATCCATTGCAGATACGAAATTAAAGATTTATTAAGCCATGCCTTTTTTGCTGAAGATACTGGGGTAAGAGTGGAACTTGCAGAAGAAGACCATGGTAGGAAATCCTCTATTGCCTTAAGACTCTGGGTAGAAGATCCTAAGAAACTGAAAGGAAAACCCAAAGATAATGGAGCCATTGAGTTTACTTTTGATCTGGAGAAGGAAACTCCTGATGATGTTGCACAAGAAATGGTAAAATAAACTTCTCCTGACAAAGACGTGTATATGTGAAGTAGTGTGTAAATCTCAAAGGACAGCAGGAGCAAATCTGGTAAAATAACTTCCGCTTAAACCATTCCAGGTGTCAAGTTTAAGCAGTTTGCATTAATTTTTAGAATGAATGCTGCAAGAAAGGGGTAAATGGGGAAGAACTAATAACTGAAGAATACTGCTTACCAAGTATGAAAACAGATGCATGAAACAGCATTTCAAATAGCTGAGGGACCACAGAGGTCTCTTCTGCTTCTGTAGTTTGAAAAGTCTTTTGCCAATTTCTGTTAGCTGTTGAACATCTTTAAATTTGTTTGGCATCTGTTTAGTTTCAGACAGCAGCTTGAGATAAATTAGGAGAGTTTGAAAGTTCAATCACAAAATACTCGGCACTGATTTCCTCAAAACGCTTCTTTCCATCTCTGCTGTCGGTGTTACTTAGGAGGAATGTAGCTGAGGAAAGGCTGTGGTGGGCCGCTCGATCACCAAGCAAACTGGATTCAAGCTCACTGCACAGAGTTAGGTGTCGGCTTCGGGCTTTTCAGCAGCCAAATTTAACTTTGTGAATTTCTGTATCTTTATAACTTGTGGGGTTTTGTTAGAAAAACTATTTTATGTTCCAGTTCCACTACATAGTCCTTGAACTCGTATTTTAATGATGTCTTGGCTGCAGTTGTTCAGGTTTTCTAATGCTGTGGAGCAGAATCAGTAAGCACTGAGTCAAGGGTCTGCATTTTCTTGTGCTTGCAGAAATGTTCCTATTATCTAAATCCCAAGGGTTGCCATTTAATGGTGTTGTCATCACCGCTCCTGTTCTGCTTAGGAGGTGCTGATTTTGGTAATGTTCCCGTACTATGCCTGGGCTCATCACCATGTTCTCCAAATTCAGGGGGAGAAATTCTGACAGTTGTCAGAATTCAGTTGCTGTTATATTTTGCATTTTTGTATTTATGGAAATATTTGGAATTATGAAGTTCTGTAGGTTACTTGGCAGTTAGTTGTGATATTTTGTTTTGAAGAGGAAATAATCCTTGTAAAAAGTTTAGCTAGAAGGATCACTCCCAAACTACTGTGATGCTATACCCTTTCCCAAACAATTTTAAAACCACTGTGGTACTATACAATTTCCCAAATAATTCTAAAACCGATGTTTTGCTATTGCATTTGCTATTGCCTAAGTGACTGCATGGGAAATGCTCTCAAACTCGAGGCTGCTGGGGGGCAGGCAAAGGCAGACGTTTATTCCTAAATGCCTTTTTCTAGCCATTACGAATGGTGGAACGCCAAAGCCACGTGCTTTTGTCAATGTGTGTTGCTTTATGTGCTGTGGAAGAGAAAAATGCAGGAGACCTTCGAGTGCGGGGAGTCATTTATTGTTATTGATGGTTGGCCATAGTCAGGCGTTGCAGCCTGTCCAAAAGATGCGGGCAAAAGGAACTTAAAATGGTCTGGTGGGTTTGCAGCCTGAAGTTACCTTTCACAGCTGGTGGGTACTGTAAAATAGCGTGTCTTCGTTAAACTTTAACCGTTCTCTAATATAGAGGTGTAGGAAGAAGAGTTGTTGGAAAAAAAAATTGTTAATGTGACAGGTTTTCAGTGCCTCCCCATTAAGCTTCGTCATGGAGAGTCTGCCGGGCAGGTCAGTTAATACCATACAAGGTTCTCTGGACCTGTGTGGTTCTTCTTGCCAGTAACTCCCTGCTGTTGCTGGCATTTGCTGGATCGTCGGTTCGGGGGCGGCACTAAGGTCTGCGGGCACAGGCAGTGGAAAATGCCCCTATCCATCGGCAGCTGTATTTTAAGCTGCTTTGCACCTATTAATTTTAAACAGCAATAATCTAAGCTGTAAAACTGTCTCATGTTTGGGCAAGAGCAAAGAATGAAAACCTCTAGGTTTCCTCCATGTGTGCAAGTGCTTCCAAATCTGCAGAATATGCACGCTAGGAATGTAGGGAGAGCAGACAGAGCTCTGGTAGGTCATTATTAAACTGAAATTCATACCCTCTGCTGCAGAAGATTATGCAAACAAATAGCACAAAGAAGAATTTCCATTTCATCTGCTGAGCAGCTGAGTTCTGAGGAAGCCTGGTCCCCTTCTCGGTCAAAAGAACAGTCCTCATTTGACTCAATGACAGGCTTTTTCTGTATAAAAGCCGATCGATACTGACTGACTTGACCATTTAAGAGCAGTTAATTTGAGATGGAATTCTGTTAACATATTTTCTCTCATGACTTGCTGTGATATCAAGCCCAGCAATTTGGGAAACTGTGTGTAATGGAAAGGTTAAGACAATTAATTCTGATGTAGGCATAGTATGGTTTACTCCAGTTGCATTGTTCAAAGAGCATTTTTCAAAGATGTTTTTTTAGTTTTTTGACTCTTCTGTTAGTCTTTCCAAAAAAAAAACCAAAGGGGAGGGAACCCATCTGCAGTTAAACTTGCTCTTTTCTCGGTGGCTATTAACCTGTGAATAGAATGACCCGATATCTATTCAGGTCTTAGAAATTACATAGTGTTGTTTTAAAATGTGTTAGGGATAGAAGTTTTATTCTAAAAAAAACCCATCAAGCTCTTGACTTCCTGTCCTTGTGAAGAATAAATATGTAATTTGTGTTATTCCAAACTGCTGTTTGCTCTGCTAGGGAGAGCTTCGAGTGATACCCATGTGTGCGCACATAATCTTGCTAAGTCTGTGCCTCCTCTGTAGATTGACTCTGGATTTTTTCATGAAAATGATCTCAAGATCGTTGCGAAGTCAATACGCGACAGAGTAGCACTGATCCTGTGGAGGAGAGAGAGGATTTGGCCTCGGATGCAGTCGGAGGAACGTCGGGACTCGGAGTGCCTGGAGAAGGCGAAGACGCCGCATGCGCAGCAGGTCCAGGTCACCTACCTGTCCCACGCCGGCCACCATGCGCTGTCGGAGTCGGAGGAGCCCGAGGCGGACCAGCACCCCTTCCAGCAGAACCTGCCCACCAGCGCCGCGTCCGTCGCCTGTAAGTCTGCCGTCGGGGGTGGTGGGTGTCCGCGGGTCAGGAGCAGGGGCT